TCGTTTTCTTATCACTGCCATTACAGTATTTGACTAATGATATGCAATTGTGATTTGAGTTAAAATCATTACTGTATAAAACTATAGAACGGAATGATTATTTACTATGCTCGCCAAACCTTAGACTGTATATTATACACCGAACGGGTTGGCCTCGCAACTTCTGCATTTCGCATGTTTTATAATTAATCGATGATAAATCGTCCTGCGATTTGTATTCGCGTATCACATTAGTCGTTGTACCACTGGTGTCTATATATTTCTATATGTGTAGATTAAGAGTTATTCCAATGTTCATAATACTATTTTATGTGCCATACCCCCCCCCCCCCCGTAATGATAATCGTAAAGACCTACATTTGTGTACGTCCGTAACAAGTCTAGGCCCAACGAACGTTTATCGTTCATAGAGCAGACATACAAATGAACGGAAAAAACTCGGAGTGGAAACAGAAATCCCCGTGTAGTTTCCGATGCTCGTAGTGCCTCAACTCGTTCGCGCGCGCACACGGTCCGCGTACGTTAACATTTTGACCGATCGATTTCATGCATAAAAATACGTTCTTCCGGTAAAGTACGTGCCCGGATAAGTAGACGAGAAACAGAGAAAAAAAAAAAAAATAAGACGAATAAACAAAAATATTTAAAACGACCGATTCTTAAATGTTCTGAACCGAAGAGGATGCCTGGAATAACATTATTTCGAGAGGATACCGTTCGTGGCCCGTCCGCGCACATCAAACGTCATTTTACTCGTAAATAAATACGCGTATAACCGTGTGTGCATACACGATCCGATAAGATATACTCATACGTGCGTGACCGTAGATCGTTATGAAATCGTTGCGCCTGTTTCGAAATTCATCGCCGAGGACATACATTTAAAACTTTACCGTACAGGTGTATGTGTGTGTGTGTATTATCCTCCTGTAAAATTCATAAAAACTTCGTTGAGCGTGCATGATATGATAATGTTATTGCGCCTTTGAAACGGGTACACGTGAAACTAACTGTGGCGCGCACACACGGTCGCGTCGCAGTCGGTGATCAAACGAATTGTTTTGCTTTTTGAAGAGATGAACCGAGTTCCCCGAGGCGTGCGATTTAACTAAAGTTCGAGTATAAGGTTTTGCAACAAGGAGTCCACTGCAACGTTTCTCGGTTGTCGATATTAAAATGTATACGCTTTATGGTACATAGTGGGTTTTTGTTTTCAATTTTTTTCGTTTTTATTTTTTTATTTATAATAAATAATTTTACAACACAAGTTACTTATTAAATACTTATTTACATCACAATCATGATAATATTCCGTATAGATAACAACTATAACTTAACATGTATTAATAATAATATTACGCGTAGACTACATTTGAAAATCAAAAAATTGAGGCGCACGTATGCGTTTTCGGTGTAGTTAAAAAAAAAAAAAAAAAAGAAAGAACAACAGTTATATATATATATATGTATATATATATGTATGTATGTATAATATTTACAAAAACCCTTATATAGTATTTTAAAAATGAAAAAAATGAATAAAAGTATAACAATATGACTGGTATGTAATTACTTATAATATTGTAATCTCTGATACAAGTCGATGCTTATAACGCATAAAATTTAACAGACAACGAACTAGGTTACATCAAAATGTGTTATTTATTTTCTTATACGATATATTATACAATGTACAAAAGAAAAATGTATAATACACAGTTAAATAAATCGTATGAATCAAATAATGGATTAGAATAAAAACAGAGCTTTTTAAAATTTACATAGATAGTCTTATCTTATATTTTATACAAACGCATTGATAAATTTAATTTCTTAATTGATAAATATTAATTCTAATTTATTAATGAACATTTTGCTTTAATTCAACAAAATAAATTCTTTTTCTTTTCAATAAAATTTGAAATCAATAATTTAAAAATAACATGATAGAGCAGAGCAATGAACACTGATAAATTTAAAAAAAATATTGAATCAACAAGTAATCATACTGTATACTAATACATTGAAAAATTATTGGATTCTATTTGATTGATAAATAATTACATTGTTATTATAATAATAATAAATAACTATAATGATTAAATTGAAAAATAAAATACATTTTGGAAATTATATGAGTTACTCATTTATGTAGACATTTTTTTTTTCGAAAAGTGCTTTTACATTATATAGCTATAGTAATACATTAATATAAATAACGATCAAATATAATGTCAATATTAGAAAACAAAACAAAACAACGTATATTTTAAATATAATATCATTATTTATCAAAGATTTGTATTTAATCGAGAAACAATATGACTTAAATGGTTTTTAGTTATACAAGTTACAGTGGTTTGAATGAAATAATAAAATAATAAAATAAAATAAATTTAGAATTTTAACTCCAATATAGTTATATTACTATAGAACATTTAGTGTTTATGTCGAGCATATAAAAATCAAATCTTTAAAACACTTTTAATAGATTTATATACGTAAAAGAAAATCATGTGCACATTAATGTATGTTTTACATTTATATTATTTATGAAATGTTTTTTTTTTTATAGAAATATTTTTGTTTGTTACTTTTGATTGGGATAATTTATTTTTGATGGTTACGATCTATGCACGATTGAAAACAATAATTAATACAAATCACGGCGCTGTTATTCCACCGAATACCGTTTTTTTTTTTTTTTTTTTGTATCAATTTGAAAAAACGTCTAAAAATCAAAGATAAACATCGTTTTATCTATTCTTTGAGCAATGATTATCCGTACTCTAATAACGTAATATTCCGTTATTCCGATAAAACGCTAATTGCGCACCCTAAACACGTAGGAATAACAAATAAATAATTAACACATTAAAATACATGGTTGGGTTGTTTAGACTACGATATGTTTTACTCCTCATACGAATTCTATGTTTTCACCAATCGAAAGTCACCGAAATCCGAATTGGTAAATTTAGAGATATTATGCAGTTTATTAAAGCAATTTTTTTCGAATGGTTGAATATTATGTTACGTTTATCGGTTTATGGAAATTTACACACATAAACTATAAACTAAACCTATAAATACGTCGTAATATGATGTATCGAATTCGTGTCATAAGTTTCAAACATCACTGATTACAATAGGGTGTTCGAACTTGTTAAAACAAACGCAACTAACCAAGCACCGCACGTGGTTCACGTAATGAACGCAATTTGACGGTTAGAATAATAATGTCTAAAGCAACTTTTTCCATCTGCATTTTTGATTAATAATATATTTTGATTAAAGATAAAAAAATGTTAATAGATCGTTTTATTCTTAATCGAAATTCAAGATATTCATAGCGTATATACGCTGATGAATGAATTTACGCATTTCTTAGATTGTGTTTGTTTATATTTTTAATTATTTTAAAGAAGAGTATTGGATTCACAATGTATCAAAACAAATGAAAATTATTTATATATTATTGATTATGATATTAAATCGTGAACGTGTTTCAGGAAATTATGAAATTTAAGCATACAAACAATAATCGTTCTGAAATAATATTACTAAAAGGTATATTTATTATTTTTCCAACTAACAACAATAGTGTAATTATTATAGTTAAACATTAATAGTACATTAAGATAGCAGTTTTGAAACGTTTAATGAAGTAAATGAAAAAGTATTCTATTTTTATTTATTTGTTATTATTATTATTATTATTTTTTTTTTTTATAAAAACCGATTAACTTTCGTTCATTTATTTTTTAACTCGAACGAAAGTTAATCGGTTTTTATAAATATATATAATACATTTTTATTTTATTTTTGACTTAGGTTTTAAAAAATTATGGAAGATTTTACATAAATAATAAATGTGTTTATAAACAAATTATGATAAGATGTTCTGTATATATCTATGGTTACCCGCATAAGGAAATATTTTTAAATAAATTAAAAAAAATCATAGGTACTCCTCGATTTCACAAGTAAATAATGTTACGAATTCAAATGTCTAAAAAAGCTGTTATAACATAATTCTAATTTGATATTAAAATACTGTTAAAACTTAATAAAAATTAGGAACTTTTTACAGACTATATATGGATGGTAAATATGTCGCCTAAGAAAATATGAAACGTTGAGAAATAATCTTGTGTCGAAACGTAACCAATAGCCAATATAAACCTATCACGTTACGGCGAAGTAATTGTACAATAATTAACAATATTGTTGTAACGATTCAGTATCATTTAAAAAGCTTACAAAGCGTTTTATTTATTTATTATTTACCGTTGATCAGGTCATTGATTTTGTTTTACGATTCAAATGTATTTTTTAAGTGAGTTATTCAGTCGTCAATGTCAATGTAATAATAAATAGGTAAACAAAAATTTTTATCATTGATGCGAACGTACGTTTTTGTTATGTCGATGTAAATATAAATCTTTAAAAGAACAAACCGAAGCGTAACGTTTTAAAAGACGCGACGACGATTTTCGTCTTATTTTTTTTTTCTTCTTCTACACGTAATCGATTTCGCCGGATTCGCAGCGCGGCCGGCGAAAACGATGACTACAAGAAACGGTGGCGAGTTTTCGCCGAAATCCGATTTTCGTTTATCGGAGGGTGGGGATGGGGTTGCGTGTGATCATTGTTGTTTGACGTGAAACGCGAAAGAAAACGGCGGGAGAAGGTTTTATTGTAGCCGTTGTTATATAGGTAAAATGAAATAAATGTTTTGCAACAGCATCACCCGATATGTCATTAGTTAGAACGAGCGTGTACGTGTGCATCTCACTTTGACGTATAAAACGACGATCCGATAGTAATAATAATGATAATAGTAGTAGTAATAATAATAATAATAATAATAATAATAATAATAATAATAATAATAATAATAATAATAA